CAACCTGCTTTGCATATAGCCCGGAGTCACCGCATTTGAACCTTCGTGGCCACAAGGAGATTTTTATTCCTTATTAGATTTGAACCTGGTGGATATTTGATAAATGGTGCATCAGATCAGATGGTTAGCAACTGCTGATACGATACTATTCACTCATCAATCTAAGTTTTCATTGTCCCTCTTCTCATTATCCCAACACTCTGTTATGGTTCCACCCTACCCCCCATCTTCATCCATTTGCAGCTTCTTATCTAACGACCCAAAACCCCTATATGCGCCCTCTTCTTCCCACTTCCCTTCACCGTCGTATCCAACCACCACCATCCATCGACCCCCTTCCAGTGAATCCCTCGACTCCATTTATGATTTAACGGTTGTTCTGCTTGGTAGTTATCATTGTCTAAGCCCAAGATTTTACCCAAATGTCCAAATGGAGAGAGAAAAACTCCAAGTTCGACCACTAAAGCCTCCAACTGAATCAATAGAAAAGAGGCATCCCCAAGCATCATCATCTAAGAGAACTACCTTTAATATATAACGAATATCCAACCTTTGAACCTGATAGGAATTTCTACCAAACTGATGATCTACAACATTGTCAAATGTCGCATTTTATAATCACCAATGCATTAAATGTTGTTTGACAACTTTAACATGTGTCATCATCTGATTTTCTGATCAGTATATGCTTTTACTGTTCCCTTCAACCTTTAAGATCTTAAAGATATGATGTAGACGTTGGTTACCCCAACACATTCTTCTGTATGCAAATAGAATAGTAAAGAAAATATTAGACTATTAGAATAATATTTTAGAACTTGTTTTGACTGACATGCTGTGCATATTCTCATATTAGGACATGAGATGATAGGAGTTGGTGAGCCAAACTTGTTGATAGAGTTTGTGCTCACCAAAATCAGCTAGCGAAAAACAATATTTGTCAAATTGTTCTAACCTATCCGATATTGATTTTTTAATCGGCTATATGACAATCCAATTCGCTTGGTGTCGATTTTGATTTCACTTGAACTATTCTTCGATTTCGTTGAAGTTGCAATGATAAGATTTTACAAATACAAATCCTATTTTAATCTTTTTCTTTGAAACATACTATATATTTCGGATCCAGTTAGGCTACATCACATCGGATCCTAAAAGACTTTAGGATTGTAAATACGATTTGGTCCTAAAACTAAACTGGATCCACAAATCAATTTGGAACTTGATCTTTCTCAGATCCCATCAATTTAAGATCCGATAAGTATATCAAATTCTGATATGTATTTCAAAACCTAGAGTATTTCGGATCCTAATATGCATCAGATCCCATCCGACTACAAAAATGAATCTCATAAAGATTGATTCTTAATCTGTAAATCGTATTTTAGACAAAATCCTAAAACATTTATAAGTGTTTCATCATATGTATTTTTGTAATCGTCCAATCAAATGGTTGAGACCAACACTTACTATAAAATTTGATTGATATGTGGTAGTGATACGTGAGGAAGAAGAATGTCAAGAAAAGAGAAAGAAAAAAAAGGTAAATAACCATTTTACCCTAATGTGCGAGGCACATTGACTTATGTGTTATTCGCATCGTTTTCTATTAAGTCTTGTATGGATAACGTTATCTGTAGTGATAAAGCTGTATGTATGATAACTGATAAGTTGTTCGGTTGTTATGCTGAATAAACAGTCTGAATAGTGAAAATTACTATTTCACCTTTTATTTTACATTGAAGGAAAAATAAACTCCTATGATGATTAGAGCAGCAATAAATTAAAATAAACCCATAATCAACAACATTTAGTAAAAATTCGTCCCAGAAAGCGTATAATACAAACCTAAATCATAAAGTGAATTTGAACCCTAAATCAGAATCTTGCATCAAACTCAGAATCATGAGAGAAAAGAAAACAAGAAAAATGAAGAACCATAAATCAAAAACTCACATCAAACCCATAATCATGAGAGAAAAAAAAAAAGAAAAATGAAGAACTCTAAATCAAAAACTCACATCAAGCAAGAAAGGTGAAGAACCCTAAATCAGATCAGATTGAGCAGATCAGTTCGTTTCCTTTTGTTGTTGATGGCTTTGAGCAGTGAGAGAACATATCGGCAGCAAGTAGGGAGAGAACGAAATAAAACAATGGAGAAGCGGGTGAAAAAAAAAGGAACAACAACAAAATCGAATCAAACAGAACAATATACAAGAAATCGTCAAAATGAAGCAAAGAAATCGAAACCAAGCAGAGCTAAACTCGAAGATTTTGGAGGAAGAAATCGAGCTGTCGATTTTGCAATAGAAGAAAATAAGAATCGAGGTTGTAGGCCGAGGCTAGGCTAGAGGAATACGTCGGCCGGAGACTAAGGAATATGCCAGTGGCCAGTTGCTGGTCGAAGGCTGTAGTTAACGACGACATGAAGTCGTGAAGCCGTGGGAGTGGGGAATTAGGGGAACGACAAAGTGAAAGGATAAAGCAAGGGTAATTGGGGAAATATTGATGGCCGAGGCCATAGGAGTGGTGTTTTTGAGCTGAGAATAAGTCCAACCGAACAACCTTTTATAGCTGAGTGAATAAGCTATAAGGCTTATACAACCCATTAGGCCACAAACGAACAACTCCTTAGTTAATGAATGGGAGTTAACATCCATTAATGGAAGGTATCAAAACCAAACAAAATTGCATACAAGGGCTTTTTTGTAATAAAAAAATCTATAGGGACCATTCCAAGAAAATCATACAACACATCGACCAAAAATGCAATTTACTCTTTATCATGTCATAATACTTGGTCTTAACTTATCTTATTTGGAAATAAAATAAAGTTAAAAATTGTTGTTATCGATCGAGCAACAATAAATAATATAAACGAATTATATTATTCCTCGTTTGAAACGAATTGTTTTGGACATTTGCAACAAAAAATATTTTATTTATTTAATAAATTTATATATTATGACAACTATCAGAATTATTATTATAACGTATATTTTTATATAATTTTTTCTATCTAAAACTAAAATTTAATATATTAATTAATATATATTTTGTTCATAATATTTTTATTTCATATGTATTTAATTTATAATGGAAAAAAATTTAGTTGTGTTTTTTGTTTTATCAATAAATGAAAACATTTACATTGTGAAACAAATATATGTTGAAACAAACACATTGTGAAATAAATATATGTTAAAACACACACATTGTGAAACAAATATATGTTAACCAATATATTAAATCCAAGTATTAGATCAATTCTCAAGATTATCAATTTTATGGATTTTCAAATAAAGATAACGGAGTAGGATATTATTAAATAATTTCACATTTATTTTATTACCAAAAATATGATTATTTGTAAAACGCATAATCATAAATTCATAATTAATTTACTAAAGCAGTTTTGGAGTAATATTTTTATGATGCATTTAAACCCAATTTCCTATGTGAAATATATATTATATTATAAATCAATTGGTAAAATGTATTTAAAGAGATTTATTCAAATCATAATAAATAAAGTCTCATCATTTTCATAAATATCTCAATTTATTGGGTTGCACTGGTTATACAAATGCGATGAGTTGTATTTGAAACAAACTCTTTCTCTCTCTCTCTCTCTCTCTCTCTATATATATATATATTGTATAATATTTAAAAAATCTCAATATAAACCTTGTAACTAACTAATAACACATTTAAATACCTATAGATCGTTTATCAAACTTAAAAAGAACCAATACTTCACTTATTTTATCGAGTAACATTCTAGTTCATCAAACACAGATTGTTAATAAATACCTTTATCAGATGAGTGTTATCTTATAAGGTTATTGGTCTTTGTTATGTCTCTTAATAAGTAAGATTTTTGGTCTTTTTCTGATAAATTAAGTGACACCAATAAACTTCTTATCCGATAAGTGTTTGGTAAACAATCCGTTACTAAACAAATTTAAAATATATATATTATAGTTTTTCTATTTAAATAAAATTTTACATTTAAAAGATGAGTTGAGTTCATGTGAGACCAGCCTGTATTCGTAAGACACGTGAGACCATATTTTTACATTTGAATTCATAGCAAAACATTCTGAAGGTGAAAAAAATCCAAACCTTTACAACAGGAGGTTACCTTCATAGTGTTTGCAAAGTTTCAAATGTAAAAAACAACATGATCTCACATAATCACAAATTATTAAGGGGGTGTTTGAGATTATTTATTTAAACTGTTTATTGACTTATTCCAGTATGATATCGATAATAAGCAGTTTTTAATGTTTGGATGAGAAAAAAAAATGCTTATACCGGTGCCAAACTGATAATAAGAACTTTTTGATAAGTTAGGCGATTTACTTTTTTGACCCTAACCTAAATTATGCACCAGATTGGAGGGACCATTTCATCAACATCGACCTTCACCTGCAAAATTGACACTCATGGTTTCTGATCGAGGCACAAGGGGGATGGAACTTGAAAACCATGGTTGAAGCTCCAATCAGGTATTCATCAACACTTTTCTCTCCGACTTCTATGGCTGTCGACTTCCATAGTTTTTGAGTTCCATCACCACCTTCCACCTTCACCACCACCTCATTCATTTCGCAAGGAGAAATGGAGATGGTCCCTCTTTGGTTGGATTTCACAAAAATAGGAGAAAGGAGAAATGGATATTGTCCCAGTTTGGTTCGATTTCACAGAAATGGAAGAAGGGAGAACTTGAGAAATGGGTTTTGTTCGATTTCACAAGGTCTTCTTTCGATTTGATTTCACAAGGTCTTTTTGATTATTTTACATGTATAAGCAAAATTTGCTAAACACTTAAAAAACAACCTATCAACTTATTATCTTTTGGTAATTTAAACACTTTTTATAAAACTCTTGTTTGATAAATTTATAAGTTGTTTTAAATAATGAATCCCACCCGCCCCGAAGATTGTTTAAATAATGATTCATAATGGACCCTAAAATTTGAAAGTAAATCTGTGAAGATGCCATTCGATCAAGCTCTCTTCCACTACTCTCTCGTCTCTATCTTCCTCATCGGACCACCCACCTTCATCGCCACCAACTTCATCACCGCCCCATACGGCAAGCACCACCGCACCGGATGGGGTCCCACCGTACCCTCTTCGTTGGCCTGGTTTCTCATGGAAAGCCCTACCCTCTGGCTCACCCTTCTTCTTTACCCATTCGGCCAACATCGTTCTGATCCAAAATCCATCCTCCTAATCTCCCCTTTCCTCATCCACTACATTCACCGGACCATAATCTACCCTCTCCGCCTCCGCCTTAAACTATCCAAAGGCTACCCAATCAGCATCGCATTTATCGCCTTCACCTACAACCTCCTCAATGCTTACTTGCAGACAAGATGGGTGACCCAATACGCCGATTACCAGAACGACGAGTGGTTTTGGTGGCGGTTTTCCGGTGGGTTGGTGGTTTTCTTCGGTGGTATGGCGGTGAATGTGAAGTCGGATATGGAGTTGATGAGGCTGAAGAGTGGTGGTGGTGGGTACAAGATTCCGAGAGGTGGTCTGTTCGAAGTCGTGAGCTGCCCAAATTATTTCGGGGAGATCGTGGAATGGTTGGGATGGGGATTGATGACCGGGTCATGGGTCGGGTTAGGGTTTTTTGTATTCACATGTGCCAATTTGGTACCCAGGGCACGTGCCAATCACGAGTGGTATTTGCAGAAATTTGGTGAAGATTATCCCAAGGGAAGGAAAGCTGTGATTCCATTTGTGTATTGAAGTGTTTCTCTGAACTTTGGTGTTTAATCCAAAAACTTGTATGTTTTGGTGATTAATATTTGATGCTACTATTTTTCTTTTTTGATTAATCTGGATATCCAATCCGCTATGATTGATTGTTTGATAAGTCAGTTGGTAGCTGATAATTTTGTTGATGAATTAAATTTGTTTGATAAAACTAGTTAATAAGCTAGTTGAAAAATATAAAATGATAAAAAATGACATGTTTAAAAATAAATAAAATTTAACATAAGATATTTAAAACAATTCACTAATATTATAATATGTTAACTAATATAAATCATATGTTAAAATTTTTAATGATAAAATATGTTAATTAATAGATTTCAATTTGACATATTATCATATTATCATTTTATTTTTTTGGATTTGTATAACCAAATATAAATTTTAGAATATCTACATTAAATTATGATTTCAAATAACCATTACATATAATATTAATAAAAAGGGAAAAGTCCAAAAAAAACTCAATGGACTTTACTGTTTGGAACGATTAAGTCATTGGACAATTTTTTCAAACAAATAAATCTTTGGACATTCTATAACCTGTTAAGTAAGTCATTAGACATTACAAAACTTGTTAAATAACTTCTTGGACTTTCTAAAATCTGTTAAATACATTTTGTTAGTGGAAAAAGTGCGAAAAGACCAATGGACTTTCATATTTTGAACGATCAAGTCCTTGAACATTTTTTGAACGAAAAAAGTACTTACATTTATAAAAAAACAAATATACCATTCTCATTACTCATCACAAAACATATAAAAGTTGTATCTAAAGCATAATTATCTGCATATACATTTTGGGCATAATTTTAGTAAAAGTTAAACCAAAATATATACCAAAAGTTGAACCAAAATATGTAACAAAAGTTGTGCCAAGAATATACTAACAATTGCGCCAAATATACCAAAAGTTTCGCCAAAAAATACCAACAGTTGTGCCAAATATACCAAAAGTTACGCCAAAATATACCAAAAGTTGCGCTAAAATATACCAAAGTAATGCCTAATCTATGTTAAAGTCATGGTATGAACTATTCTTCATTTGCATCATTAATTTCTGGTGGAGATATAGTCATTTGACTTTCTTGTAACCCTTCTTGATGTTTAACAACATCATCACTTTCATAATGTTCTTCATCACCAACAGTAGTATCACCTTCATCACGGTCTTTACCGTTAACAACAACCTCTCTTAAAATTGAATACGGTAGGATGCCTTCGCATCATGCTGGTTGTGGCACACCTGAGGATGTCTTTAATGATGAAGATAAAGTGTAAGCAATAGTCATAAAAAATGTTATTTGAATCTGAAAAACAAATAATGGCTTACCCCAATCATTGTTTCTCCCATGACTGGATTATAAGAGACCCCTGCATATGATGGTATCCTCCCACCTCTATTGCCTTTTCCACCTCTATTGGCTCTTCTTGTTGTAGTCGGTTTTGGAATGTTGAGTCTTGGTCTACCTTTTGGCTTAACAAGTTTACGTGGTGGGTTCTTCTTTTCATTCTTACAAGTCCTAGCATTATGTCTCGTTTCCAAGCAATTACTACAACCTACATGTCATTGCCTTCCCAGATTGAGTCACCCTTGTACTTTGGCTCTCAAATTCTGATCTTTTTCTTTTGATGGATGGTCTACCATGCATTCTTCTTTCCTTAGGTGGGTTTGGTTTGATGTAAGGTGTTGGAGTCCACATGTTGCTCCCATTCAATGGTCTTATAGTATTCTCATAGGCTATTTTAAAGAGATCCTTAGTAAACCATTTACTAACATAATCCTCTGGATCCTTATTCATAAAGTGTATGGCAGCAATGGAATACACACAAGGAATGCTTGATATGTCCCACAATCTACAACTACATTTTCTAGCATCTAAGTCTACCACCATTGCTTCGGGCCACCACTAGGGATAACCTATCAATATCTACATATGAAAAAGAACACATTAGCATACAAGATCATATTACCATCATAGACAAGCATACAGAATAAAATTGCCATCATAGATAAGCATACCTGTGATTTTCTCCCCATTTATTTAACTTTTTTTTTATGGCCGAACAAACAACTGATTCCCATTCTTTTGCTTTGCTTAACATTCTGTAATGTCTCTCCATAACAAATATCCTTATCTCCTCTAACATTGTGATTATAGGTTTTCTTCTTGCATCAACAATTATTGAATTAAATGACTTGCAAATCCTATTTTCTACAGTTTCATAAGCTCTACCGGATTGTAAAAATGCCCTACACCATGTATTAGGGCCCCTTTCAATTAAATGATTATATGCATCAATGTTTTGTATCCTAAACTTTTCCATGCGTGACATGAAATCTGCCTCAAAAGTGGATGCAACTGCTGCCCGAAAAATGTCTCTACTCAACATTTTAATGTTGTGACTAATTGGTATCTTTAAACTTTTGAAGAACATTTTAATGTTGTGACTAATTGGTATATGATAACTATAATGCTCGTCTTTTATGAATTTGGTTGTAATGTAAAGTTCAAATATAATGCTCATCTTTTATGACTAATTGGTATATGATAACTATAATGCTCRTCTTTTATGAATTTGGTTKTAATGTAAARTTCAAATATAATGCTCATCTTTTATGACTAATTGGTATATGATAATTGTGTGGGTTATGCCAATATTCTAGCCGGCTTCTTTTGCCGAATGTACATTCCTCTTGTTTCTTCTTTTAACATTGAATTGAGCACTTTAAATGGATGACTAATAATATCTCATGAGTTACTTTTGAAACCTATGGTGAGGAGTGGGGATTAACACTTTATGAGTTTAGTTGTTGAAAAATGGGTGTATTAAAATACAACTCTTGATTTTTTTACTAAGGGGTCGTTTACTAAACCCTTGTCAAGAAGTGCTTACCGGCAAAAATTAATACCCTTATTTGTCCTATTGGTTAACATTATCGGTAATCAAAGTGTATTATGGCAAGTGTTTTTTATCCGGTAAACACTTACCCTTATTTGTCCTATCGGCAACTTAAGCAAGTAACCTTTTCGGACCAACTTGCACATACCTTGACTAATACCATAAGGCCCTCAAGTTATTAGCTGGAAAAACTTCTACTTAGGAACCATTTATCCAAACGGTTAGCCGGTAATCACTTACCAATAGAGTCAACACTCCCATTTACCTTACCCGGTAAGATTTTAAAAAAACATCATATGCAACAATTTATCTGGTAAATGATAATCGGGTAATAGTTGTCACCTTCACATACCGCGTAAAATTCTTGGTCCTTGCCCTGTTCATCCAATAAGGTAAAGTTTTCTGGTAAGCGATTACCGGGTAAGCATTTGATGAACAACGCGGACTCAAACAGGTAACCACATGAAAACAAAAATTTATGGTTTTACCCTCAAACTAGCATCCATGTTACTTGCAAGGTGTTGTAACTCGCTTTTAACTTTTCACAAATGACGCAACAAATATCGAAATTAAAAACAAGAAAATTCCCAAGGCATGTATTGATGAAACAATCGGGTATTTATGTTTATTGATATTCTACGGTATTTATACAACAGTATAACTGTAAATTCATAATCACGTATACAACAATTTGAGAGTTGTTCATCAACAAAAAACCGAACAAAAGTATATGGGAAGTGGGAACCGTGATCAAGCGTAAGCTCCATGAGCAAAAACCAGCATGTTGGTCCAAATAGCGAACATGTCGTATAGAGGGAAAGAATGAGGAATGAAACGAGGGACGTTTATTTGGTCCTCTTCTTGGCTTCACTATACAAAATCACCCCGAGCACTGTGAGCAAGTAACCGAGCATCCCTGTTACTGACACTGGATTCTTAAATATCAAAATCGAGATCACAACTGCCACCGCTCCTTTCGCATTTCCCAGGACCTGGTAGTATGAACAATATTATAAAGACTTGAACTCAAAACAAACGTGCCCCATTGCAGGTATCAACTGGGCGAAATGAACATGGATTATTGATTTCAAAGAACTGGAACCCAAGTCAATTAAACCAAACCGAACCAAACATCTAAACCAACCGGGTGAATCATACTCGAAGGGTGTGGGGAGGCTGATATGTATGCAGACCCGACCACTACCCCAACAGGGTAAAATAGTTGTTTATGTGAAGAACCCACCCGGCTTGTGCAAGAGTGTGGCAAACAGGTGGAAGGAATAAAGACTTAATGGTGAAAGAAGCATGAAAATAAATAACAAGTATTTGTATTGAAAACATATAAAAAGGTAAGGAACGCAGAACACACAGACAAAGCAAGTAAGGCCAAACATCTTGCCAGCCCTCTACCCCCAACCAAGCTAGCTACAAGCCCCAGACCTAGTTAACCGAAATCATTGTGTACGAAATCAGACAAACTAAATCATCAAGAACAGTTTCTTGTTGGTAGAGAATTTGCAGCATCCATGATTTACGGGTGTTCATAGGTTGAAATCCACCAAAATTAGGCAGAACTCCGATCCAATCATTCATTGGATGCTGGATTTTGCCTACCGATCCAATCCAATGAAAATGGATGATTGGATCGGATCGATTCCATCAATTGGATAGTACCATTTGTTATCCGTTGGATAGGATTGTGGATCCATACAATACTTTGATTAATTAGGAATATTTGCTTTTTGACTTGGAAGTTGGCTTGCCTCAAGAAACAACTGTTAACCCTGGTAGCTTAACTGATAAGACCTTGATTTTGCTTTCCAACATCACTAGTTCGGGTCTTCTTGGGGCCATTAGAGGTTTGATTGTTGACTTCAAGGCCCGTGGGATTAGGTGAGTTGCACGCAAGCAAACACGGGCACCCACGGTTGTATAAAAAAAACTACTGTCCTCGCTCTCTATCTACATTTTCTGCCTTGTAACTAACTTTTATCTCAATCAAGTTTATATCTATAGAGGGTTCAGGAATATGGAGTTTGGTATGAGCTCAACTTGTTTTTGTTATTATTCTTTCATAAATGAGCCGGTGTAGAACTTTTTGTATTAGCCGTTGGTGCCCGTTCATGCATTTATTTAGTAAATGCAAATCTTTAGCGAACTCATGGGTGGACACTTGCTAGTTCTTAAGATACAATTAAGTGTAAAAGACTAGCACACTAACAATGTAAGAAATTTTTTTTATCATAAAATGAAGAGTTAACTGCATAAAACCCCCAGGAAGTTTACTTCTACTTCTATTTCCGTATTCGAACCTGAAACCTACAAACAAGAACTGAAGAACAAAAAGAAAGTAGTGCATTTCGAAAACATTTATATAAATTAAGAAAGGGAACTTCTCTTTGAGCTAATTAAATTAAAAGTAGTACATTTCGAAAACATTCATATAAATTAAGGGAACTTCTCTTTGAGCTACAACTTTTTAAAGGCTGTTTAATGTGATTACTTAGGGTAAGAATTAACTTGTTACAATTGGTCATGTGGCAACTACAAACACAAAGGAAACCCTAATGAACCTAGACTCTATACATGATCACATATGTAGTACAAGTAGCATAGACTACATTAACATGTACAAAAACCACAATTTAGGGTGAAAGGTCTCACTTTGGACATGAGGATACTAGGGAATGGTGAAATTCTGGATAGAAGTTATCTTTTTTGATCGAAGTCACTACAGTGTTCTTTTTTTCTTTTTGCATTGTTTGATGTACCATGTGGTTTAGTTAATAAGCCCATCCTGAAAATGAATAACTGGCGGTTAAGCTGCTATTTATTATTTAATCTAAATAAAAATGAATCCCAAAGTCCATAGGGTATTCATGCATTTCTCACGGGAAAAAAAAACAAGCACATCATTGACGTCCCAAACGCTTAAAATTTGATAAATTGTCCTTCCTTTCTCCTTTCATCACTGTTCATCTTTGGCAAATGATCCGTATAGCACAAAAAATATAGTTGGTCTTCTCAGATATGCCACTACTGAATTGCATATCCCTCATCATTGATACATTGCCCTTCCCTTCTAAAATTGCATCATCAATCATTTCTATCACATTCTTCTTTGATACTAGAAAAACCCAAAGCTCATGGCCGACTGATATGGCTTGTCATCATTCAGCTATTGTATTTATTTTTCTCATTGCTGGCATATGTATAAAACTAATTTTGGCCTTGGGCATAGTTTGAAAGATCTTTTAGATGCAGATATCCCTATACACGGGCAATTGCGTTCTTAATTTATAAAAAAAATCAACCAGCTAAGTTTCTGTCATCTATGATCTATATTTCCTGTGTTGTTACTCATCTACCACAAATACTCTTTTGGTTGTATCATAGTATCAATTTGATTGATATTGGTATTCCTCTTTATCATAACCAAGTAAACTGATCATGCCCTATGGGTGGAACAGTTCTTCATGCATAGAACAACTATTCAATCTGTTATCTGCAACTAAAATGTTTGAAATAAAAGGACTGCCGCTTATTTATCTTGTGCAAAGCTAAAACAACAGAAATATTTGTTTACATAATGGCTAAAACCAAACCAAACTGACCCAGTAAATCCGACTCAAAGGTAAGGTCTGGGGAGGGTGAGATGTAGGCAGACCTGACCTCTACCTCAAAAGAGTAAAAGCAGCTTGTTCAAGAGTGTGAACAAACAGTTAGAAAGAATAAATACTAGCATGATGTGTGGGAAGCACGAGAAAAATAAGCAGGAAAAAGTAGCGACAAGGTACAATGAAAACATAGGAAAAGGCAAGGAAAACCTACACAGAGCAAATAAGGCTAAAAACACATCCCTAGCCTAAATTGCCAGCCCTCTACCTCTCAACCTATCCAACGCCCTTCCGCCCAACTGCTTTAGATAATGGCTACCTAATGGAAATACAAGAGCATGAACATGGCATGCACGGTAAACAAACCAAACCAGTATAACCAAAGTGCTTAAAGCTTTAATTGTGAAAAAGAATCCTAGCTATAAAGAAAATTACTTACCATCATGTTAAATATTTGAACTTTACAGTAGAGCTAAAGGCAATGAAAAGCTAAATATGTTTATAAGAAAGTGGGCATACCTGGAGAGTTAAAGCACTTGTATGCTTGGTAACCAAGAAATTTGTCAAGTTCACAAGATACGCTAAAGCAGAATTGAAGAGTAGATACCAAACAATGTTGACATCTTTTCTGGCGAGAGCTATAGTAATGCCAACCACATTATCTTCCATTAATAATGTTGCTGGAAGCAAGATCACAACAGCTACTGGTGCCATGTAGAGCAATAGATTCATGGAATTCAGTTTTTCTCTGTTAAAAAGATAAATTCATGCAGTATGTTGTTGATAATTGATCAGAAGCTGGTAAGATAAATCGAGTCAACATAAATGGAGAATAAGAATCTGAGAGAGTAAAATTACCCTTCTGAGGAAAGCAAAATCCCTTGAAGCACTGACTTCAATGCTCTTGCAGCTGTAGCACCGAGACACATAATAAAACCAAATAAATGGAAACTTGGTTCACCCTGCAGCAAAAAAATATATGAACATTTTAGTATGCATGCAGGCATACACAAAGCTCACAAGAAAAGAAGAATATACCATGAAGTATAGTAGTCACAAATCATGACACTATAGATAAACCAACATGTTTTACAGTAATCATGAAATCATTCACAGAATTATCCAGTCCCATTGCAACATAAATATCTAATGTGAACACCAACTTGTAGTTGGTACAAACACAAAGCTAATAGAGCTTTCATATGGTTGGCATGAGCTTTTTGCCTTTTTCTACTACTATATACCATTATATTTGAATATCTTTGGGATGGAAGCCTTAGTCTTTGGTCAATGGATTCCCAAACTGCTGTATAGTGTCCCAACTGGCATTATAGTGTCCCAAGAGATATCACTTGTAATACATGTGTGTATGTGTGATTAAGAAGGAATCTCACAAGTGCTGATAAGCTTAAGAGTGATGGTACGAGCTATATAACTTAAGATAGCCCTAAAATACAGGTACATTTCAACTTGCAATCCTAAAGTCAAAAAACCAGGACCCCAGCGTGATTCCTTTTCAGATACAACATTGGGGAGCCTAGCATATCAAATCAACACCTATTGCATATGCAGTAATTGTATATAGTGCCATGATTTCACTTGCCACCTCATCATATTAGACTAGTCCCCTTTCCCAAAAATGATGGATAACATGTGAAATTGTGAATGCTAGAAGTCCTTTTTCAAATACCAAGTTCAAAATTGAATGAAATATATAGACTACAACATACCTTTATTTGATCCAAATGGGAACAAAATGGAATTTCCAAGCATCAATGAAATCAGAGATCTTACCCCACTAGCAATAACAACACCCGTGACGACAGGGATGAGAGTTACATAGACCAACCATGCCTCCCTTTTCATAGTCATCACATACGCAAATACCGCAGTGAAAAAGGGCGTGGTGGCTCCAACGGCCTGCGTAAACGAAACGGGCAAATACCTAAGCGACACATTCCCACTAACCACCGACGCACAGAACACCAAACTGAGTGCCGAGATCTTGAAAAACTGAACCCTAGACCTAAGAGTCTGCAGAGGAACCATCTTCATCCAAACAATGGCAATGTAACTGAGCAAAGAACAAGCTGTCATGTGGCACATGGTGAGGAAGATCGGGTACTTGAATCCATAGTTGCTTAGCAAGTATTTGTTGAGTAACAGTACTCCAATGTTGGATGTGTACCATGATGAGACGAGGCCGATCGTAAACCACTGGCCGGTGCTTGCCTTCATTAAATTCAAAATTGAAGGGTGGGTTTACATGGGGATTTAGGAAAATGGGGAAGATCTGGATGAGGGTTTTAGATGGATCTGAATTTAAAGTCAATTGTGAGAGAGAAAGATGAGAAAAAGGGGGGTTGAAGAGGGCGCGAGGTTGACGTGGTAACGGTAAGAAAGAGTGAGAATTTGCACACAGAGAGAAAGAGATTCCTTCTCTTCCTTGTAAACTCATCAAGTGGGAACAAGATGGTTTTGAATTTTTTTTCTTTTTTTTTACCTTAGAACCAAATCATATGTCTCTATCCATATCTATACTATATATTAAAAATTATTTTTTATATATAAAGTATTGTTTATTAATGCATATTACTTAAAATTTAAGATTACAAGTAGATTATGTATAAGTACAACTTATTAAAGCTCCATATCTAAATTTGTATAACTAACTGTAGATAAACATAATCAAATACAAGATAAACATCTATTTCAAATATAGAAAATCTAAAATATAATTAAGATAATCATTGAGTTTTAACAGAATGTTTAATTATTATATTTATAAAAATTTATATTATTAAACTAAAAATAAATTACTTTGTTATTAAATCTAAACTAAATAAAGCATTTGACAAAAACTATTAAAAACTAATTTTTATGTATGAAGTACTGTTTATTGATGCATATTACTCAAAAATTAAACTTCCAAGTAATTTTACGTAAGTACAATTTGTTAAAGCTGCATTTTTAAGTTTGTGTAACTAACTGCAGTTAAAAATAATCAAATACGAGATAAACATTCATTTTAAATATAGAAAATCTAAAATATAATTAATATAATCATTGAGTTATAACATAATTTTTAATTATTATTCTTATAAAAAATTATATTATTAAATCAAAAATAAATTAGTTTGTTTTTAAATTTAAATTAAATTATAATAAAAAATTGAATTAAAGAAATTACAACAAAAAAACGAAAACTATTAAATAGTTCATTTGATATTAATATTGATTTATTTTTTTCAAACTTTTATGTCATTTTTAAATTTATATTTCATTCAAAAATAAAAATATTACCGCTTTTTCAAAACCACATAAAATCATATTATATCGATAGAGACAAAAAATAAAACTAAACATTAAAATCGAGATTTATATCGCTGCATTGCGCGAGTACCCTTCTAGTTATCTTACAAGACATCTATACTACCTTATAAATAAGATTTATCAAAAGTCCTATAAACAATTTTTAATGCATAAAGTCTTAAAAACAACTTATAATGCATTAAGTACTACTACTTTATGCATTCAGTCTTAAAATCTCTTAATCTATAATTATAATAACATATAGTACAAGTTACCACACATTATTATTTTTTCTTTTTATGTTAAGATACTTTTGACACTTTTCACTCAAGTCTTCACCCTCTCATACCTCTATGTCTTCTCCCCATCTCCCAAGGTGAGATTCAAACTGATATTCACAATGGGTTATTAAAGGTTCTCTCATTCATCTCTCATTCGATTGCTCTAGAACTCTCGCTCTCGATCTTTTGATTCTTTGCTCTTGGTGTAAATCGAACACATTTGTGGAGTCGTTTAAATATGTTAGATTTTAAATATATTGGATTTTGAACCGTCATATAATTTTTTTCATCGATAGACTGTAATTGGAACCATCACTCTTATTTATTCAAATTGTATTAACATGTAAAGATCAAATGTAACTTATATCATCGTTAAATCTTCTTTTATAAAACCAGTGAAACTTCAAAATCATTGAAATTCATGGCTCTCGTCGCATTGCACGAGTACACAACTAGTTTTTAACAAAGTTTTAAAAACAACTCAAAATTCATAAGGTATTAGCCAAAGATTTGCACAAATCCCTTGATTTGTGCAGAAGATTTGCATATAGAAGGACTTTACTTATGATTATCATTTTGATTCTTATATATAGAGAGAGGTAGGGGAATTGTATTAGACACAAGAAATTATGAAACACTGTTATGGTATCAGAGCCAAATTTTCCTTTCAACTTGTCATCTTTGATAAACCCTAATGGCAGCCAACAACAAACCGTCGTCCCCTACCTCTCCAAAATCTTCTTCTTCTTCTTCTTCTTCTTTTTAAACAAACCCCTTTCCATCCAGCCCTTACCGTCTCGAATATCCGAACATTTATCCCTATTGTTCTAGAAATCGAAAAAGCTCAATACGCCTCATGGGAAGAGCTGTTTAAAATCTATGCACGAGCTTACCAAGTCATTGGTCATATCATCATCATCCCGCCTAAAGATAAGTCTATCGATCCCACCTATGGGATCGGTTGGACGCGATTGTCCAACAGTGTATATAAGGGACGATTTCCCCTGATCTCATCCAAACAATCTAGGAACTGAATTCTACGACGCAAAAAGCTTGGAACCACCTGCAAGGAATCTTCCAAGATAATAAACACTTGCGTGCGGTTCTTCTTGAGAATCAATTTACCCGACTTCAACAATCTGATTTTCAGTCTGTTGCTGCTTATTGTCAACAACTTAAGGTACTTTCAGACCAACTTGCTAATGTAGGGGCTCCTATTTCAGATGAACGACTGATATTACACAATTAGTGTCTGGCCTTTCTGAGGTTTATGACGGAGTCGCTACAATCATTCAGCAATCTGATTCCCTACCCCCTTTTTATCGCGCCTGTAGCATGCTCACTTTGGAAGAATCACATAAAGCAAAACAAGTTGTTGGACACTTAGCTACTCCACCTACGGCCTTGACGACTTCAGTCGGTGCTTTGTCACCATCCTCCACTCTGACTTGAGTTCACAGCCATTCTACCGCCCACCATATCGCAGACGAGGGAAGGGTCGAGGGTACCCAGGCCACGGTGGTCGCCATTGGCAAAACCTACGGCCTCCTGGGGAGTTATTCTACCAGAATTCATGCCCCCGTGGCACCAACAGATGCAATATGCACAATGGCARCCGTCCCCATGGCCATCACCACCATGACCATATTCGATGAATGGTTCTTCCACACCTTCGTGGACTACCCGCTAACCATCACAAACGCCGCCTCCTTGGGCAGCCCCGGGTGTTTTATTATGGGTTTTTATGTTAGAATGAATAAGTCTTATGTTGCATGAGATTCGGATATATTCATGCACGTGGGTAGACGATAGACTAGTTCTCTTGGTTGTTTTTAGTATTCCTAGTTTTCTGCTGATTTTATGGTTTACGTTTGTTTCCGTTAGTTCTTGTAAGCTATTTATAGCATGCTTCATTTAATGAATAAACTACCAGATATTGAGTGATTCAGTTGTGTTCTACTATATACCATTACAAGTGGTATCAGAGCACATCTGGGAGAGTTGAGTGTGTGATCATGGCTGCTGAGAACGGTAACTTTCAGGTTCCCAGTGTTCCGAAGTTTGATGGCGACTATGATCATTGGAGCCTTTTGATGAAGACTCTGTTGAAATCCAAGGAGTATTGGGTTGTCATTGACCCAGGTTATAAAGAACCGGCTGAAGGAGCAGTCTTTCTTCTGCCCAACAGACCCAGTTAGATACGATGCGTCTCAAAGATCTCAAGGCCCAAAACTACTTGTTCCAGTCCATTGATAAGCAGATTATCAAGACTATGACCCAGAAAGACACCGCCTAGCAGATCTAGGAGGCGATGAAGAACAAGTACCAAGGTAATACGCGGGTTAAGCGGGCCCAGTTGCAGCGATTGCGGAAGGAGTTCGAGACTTTGGAGATGAAAGACGGCGAGGGAATCACCRACTACTTTGGCCGTGTCATGACGGTGGCCAATTCTATGCGGAATTTCGGTGAAGATATGGATGATGTGAAAGTTGTTGAAAAAATTCTACGATCCCTGACTGACAACTTTAATTTTGTTGTTTGTTCCATCGAAGAATCCAAGGATATCGACCGTTTATCGGTCGATGAATTGCAGAGCTCGTTGCTCGTTCATGAACAGAAACTGACTAAGAAACCCACCCTTGATGATCAAGTTCTACAGACTGAAGTCGACCCTTCCACCGGGCGTGGTCGTGGTCGAGGAAGGGGGTCGGGTGCAAGAGGAAGAGGTCGCGGACGCGGACGCGGACGCGGACGCGGACGTGGGAGGTCTGATTTCGATAAGTCCTCCATCGAATGCTATTGATGTCATCAATTTGGACACTTTGCCTACGAGTGTAATCGTGCTGAGAAGCCGGTTAATTACGCAGAATTTGACGAGGGTGAAGATATTCTTTTGATGACTCATGCCGTCGTGAAGGAAGAACATACCACATGTATTTGGTTTCTTGACTCCGCATGCTCGAACCATATGACAGGCTGTCGTGGACGATTCATAAATCTTGACGAAAATTTTACACATAGTGTAAAATTAGGGAATGATCTTCGTTTATCAGTAAAGGGCATTGGTGATATCCGCTTTGAAGCTGGGGGTATCACGCAGGTAATAACTCGTGTTTATTACGTTCCAGATCTCACCTCAAATCTGTTAAGTCTTGGGCAGTTACAGGAGAAGGACCTAACAGTGGTGATTCGCCGAGGAGTTTGCAAAATTTATCATCCTCGACGTGGCGTAATCACTACATCTACTATGACAAGAAATAGGATGTTTATTGTGCAGGCCACAAAAACAGCCAAAGAAACCAAGTGTCTGCAAGTGATCGGTGAACCAAATGGTCAAACATGGCATAGGAGGCTAGGTCATGTACACAACAAGTCTTTACGCACCATGCAATTTCGGCAAATGGTGAAGGGATTGCCATCAATAGCCACATCTTCTAAAGTATGCGAAGTCTGTAATTTGGGAAAACAACACAGAGAAAATATCCCAAAGAAGAGTTTATGGAGAGCCTCCTCTAAGCTGGAACTTTTACACATTGACTTATGTAGACCCATTCAGCTTGCATTATCCAGTGGAAGGAGGTATGTGATGGTCATTATTGATGATTTCTCTAGAAAGGGATGGGTGTACTTTCTATCACATAAACATGAATGCCTAGAACTATTCAAGTATTTCAAAATTATGGTTGAAAATGAAACTGGGTTGACCATTAAAAGTCTAAGAAGTGATTGGGGTGGTGAGTTCATTTCCAATGATTTTAATCAATTTTGTAAGGAGACTGGCATTAAACGGCAATTAACTGCGGGGTACACTCCACAACAAAATGAGGTGGCCGAAAGGCGAAATAGAACGTTAATGAATATGGTTAGGTGTTTGTTAATTGATAAACAAATGCCAAAATGTTTTTGGTCCGAAGCTGCAAACTGGGCGTGTCACATTTTAAATCGATGTGCTACTACATCAGTAGAAAAAAAGGTGCCTGAAGAAATTTGGTCTGGTCACAAACCAAATGTGGATTACTTTAAGATCTTTGGATCTATTGGGTATGTCCATGTTCCCTCTCAACATCGAACCAAGTTGGATAACAGAAGTCAAAAGTGTATTTTCTTGGGAATTAGTGCAGAGTCTAAGGCATATAGGATGTATGATCCTAATAAAAAAAGATCATCATCAGTAAAGATGTGGTGTTTGATGAGAAGGAAAGGTGGTATTGGAATAAGCAAAACTTTGGTCCTTCTGAATTAATTATAGCAGATGAAAGTGACATGTTGGAACCACATGAAGCAAATCTCGAAGATGGGCAGGAAGATGTGGAAGATGTGACAAATCAAAGTTCCAATCCTAGTCACTCTAACTCTCATAATGGCTTATTTAATGCAATAAGCAACACCAACAGTGAAAGGGACAGCTCACAAGAAAGTAATATTTCACCAACTATTCAAACTAGTACACCTACTGTACTACCATGTGATCCTCAAAGTCAAACAATAGCTGGTGAAAGCTCAAAAAGAACGAGATCAGTGCCTACTTGGATGCATGATTATGAAAATGGGGAGGGTTTGTCAAGTGATGAGCAGAACTTGCAATGTTTAGTTCGATGGAAGACCCAACAACTTTTGATGAAGCTGTTAAAGAAACTAAATGGGTAAAGGCTATGGAGAAAGAGATGGAGTCCATTATGAAAAATGAAACATGGGAGTTGGTTGATGCTCCTGTCGAGGTAACCCCAATTGGAGTTAAATGGTTATTCAAAACAAAATTGAATGAGAAAGGTGAAGTAGATAAGTACAAGGCGAGGCTCGTTGTGAAAGGTTATGCTCAGAAAAAGGGCATAGATTATGACGAAGTTTTCGCCCCGGTGGCTCGATGGGATACGGTTCGTTGCATTCTTGCCATAGCTGCTCAAAAGGGTTGGTTGATACAACAGTTGGATGTCAAATGTGCGTTCCTTAACGGTACGCTTGTAAAACCCAAAAATTTCGAGGAATAAAATAAGGCATCTTTATTATTATTATTAATTCTATTTATGAATTATTTAATATATATATATATATATATATTAAATAAAAGTTAGAAATTTGAAATAAGTCAAATTTGTTTACGACTGACGCTGAAGGCTCCAATTCGAGGGGGAGCCTGCTGCCAACTAGGGAGAAACAGCAGAGGATCAGGCGGTGCCTGGTCCATAAGAGGAAACTGTGACCTGCATGGTTGCAGGCTGTAGAAGAGAGCAGTTCCCAGCCCAAAACTCGGGATTCTGCCGATTTGGTCAACTAATAGGCCAAATCGTGTGAGTATAAATTGAGGGCACCAGGTTAAGGTCGTTATTCTTTTGGGAGAAGAAGAGAATCGTTGAGCTTGAAAGAGAGAAGCTGGAGTTCAAACCAGCAAGAAACCCCCTGCTTTTCGTCGTTTAGAGGTAAATACTCGACCAAATTTATAATTTAAACAATGTTTAGCAGTGACTTTGGCCCTGTATAGAACCCTAGAAGGCTCACGTCCAGACTTTGTGTTTTGGGAGTCGATTTCAAGGATTAGATTTCATTGTTAAACACACAGTATCGCAGCCTGCTTAGAAGCCACCTTAGAGAATGCTACATAGGGAGCTCTGCATAAGAGTTTTGTATCATGTGTGTTAGACAGAAGCTCTGCATGAGAGCTTTGTGTCATGTTAGCCAGAAGCTCTGCAAGAGAGCTTCGTACCAAGTTTCATTATACAGAAAACTCTACATGAGAGCTCTATATCAAGTTGTTTAAGACAGGCTCTGGAAGAAACCACAGAGGGACTCTGGACTCTTAAAATAATTTTAGTTAAGTCACAGAGGCTCTGTCGATAGACACAGAGGCTCTGGTCCTTAGTACCAAATTTTCTAAGGCTCCAACCACAGAGGCTCTAGTCAATACCACAGAGGCTCTGGTTGTGAGACCATAGCTCTGTGAGAGAGA